TAATTCCAAGTATGGGTCACCATTCCTGGCCACATGTCACGGCACATCACGTTTATTTTGTGCTGAAACTGGTATTAAAGTGGAGGAGATGATCAGTTCACGTGCGCCTCGCGCTGCCGCGTCTGTTGAACTGGACTTTGTTTCATAGTAAAAGTACCAAAGCACAATGCTTATTGCAATATATTAGATGGGAGGTGCCCTTCAATGTTCCGTCCATTAACTGAACACAGGCTAGACTAATTGATTCTTGGGATTTAAGAATCGATATCGTTCCATAAAAATGAGAATCGATTAAAATAGAGATATCGATATTTTTTACCCAGCCCTAGTCTCATATGCCTGTTTCTACTCAGAAACCTATCAAAGCCTGTTCTTTATTGTCTGACTGCCAAAGCCAAGCATTTCCTTTAGATGCAATGTCAGAAGGGAATAATGCTCTTAATGATAATGATATTAATAAATAAAATAATGAAAAATAATGATTAAATTAATCACTTCATAAATTCATATATATATATATCTCATCAAATGCAACTTTTGAATTGAAATTTAGGAATAAATTCAAATTTAAATTAGGAATAAAAAATCAAATTCAGCTGAAAATTCATTGGTTGCTCTCACGTGTCAACTATTTAATTGCATATTTTTAACTTGACATGAAAAAAGAAAAGTATTTTGCAAAACGATAATGAAATGCACTTTTGATTACCTTTAACAATGCCATTTAAATGATTAGCAATTCATTCATTATTATTATTACAACCACAATTTTAATATGAATTAAGTACACATCTATTTGACAACTTGAAAAATTTATTTATTTAATGTTTTATTTTTTAATTAAAATATTGATAGTTAATTGATTTCATGTTCTTTTTAAGGGGCAGTCATAGTCCTCCATAAGTTACTAGGCCAAATCTTTAACCTCTTGGCTACACCACTATTTCTATTATTCATACAAAGTTCATGTTTTGGCATGTAATTCTGCAAAGGACAGAAAGAGACAGTTCTCTGTGTGAACTTCCTTTAACAAATTGAAAGCCTCTGTTCTGAGTATTTGCTTGGTGAATACTCTTGTCTGGTTGACAAAGTGGTCCATAGATAGATGGTCCATTAACGATTTCAAAAACACTCACACTTGTTCATGAATTAAGTATAATGAGCATGTTCATGATTACAGAAAAGACAGACACAGGCTTTTGGGCATCCCATTATCCGTCCCCTCAGACATCTAAAAGAACAGACTTCCAAACTGATCCAAGTTCTCTAATGCAAAAGCAAACACATAATGTCCAAAATAGCCTAATAAACAATCTGTCCAAAGTAGCTTTGCTCTGAGCCAGAGGAGGAATATTACCGGCCTGACAAGTTGTGATGCCAAGTTATCACCCAAATACAATCTGTGGGTGGACGCTTTATGGCCACTGCACAGCAAACAACTTCATGAAGTTTGTTTGCAGTACTGACAGTGACAAATGGTCTGTTCTAAACAGGTTTTGGCCACAAACTCATCTCTCTTGCTTCATGATGTCCCTGCCTGGTGACAAAGTCTGGGATTATGACTTCAAAGAAATGGTTGCTTTTGGTAATTTTGTGAACTGAGAAGGAAAGACTATTTTCACTAAAGGGATACTCCAACCAAAAATGAAAATTCTCTCACCATTTGCTCACCCTCATGCTCAGATGTATCTGACTTTCTTCAAATAAGCACAAGCAGAGAATTTTAGAAAAATAAACAATCTCTGTGAGTCCATAAAGTGCAAGTGGATGGAACCCTCAAAGCTGACGCTTAAAAAACCATACAAAACAAACACGGCTGTAATCCATATGACCCCAGT